GTTGGTGTTGAGGAGGACCCGATTCGCAGGGTATCCGTCGATTGACTTTTACCAGAACCGGTACACCTTCGCATTAGTGTTGTTGCGAAAAACTATTCCTACGTCATGATGGGGCATCTGTTTATGGTTAGAATCGAGATGTGTGCCCGCGCCATGGTGTTTGAATGTCATTTTGATCTTGCACATGGAACAATACTGTAAGTGCAGAGTGCCATATTCTAATTTAGTGGCCACCCGGTTCTCGCATCGACCCACTCCTATTGTCGACAGCACATACCGGAAGGACTCGGTAGGAGAACACACTAGATCAAAAAGAAATACGCGTGCCAACATACTGAGCGATACCACCGCAATTTGTTCACCACAAAACAAATAAACATTGCGAGGCCCTACCCCATCGACATGTTGAAGTATAAGTGTTTCTCTTCTCGTGAATGTTGAAGCCTTGTCATTCACCATACCTGCTACACAGGAGTTTGAGCCCGCGCTTCCGAAACTTAGAGAGTTCAGAAATTCAGGATATAAGAAAAAACTTGGCAACAAGAACAAGCGCTCACTCGAGGAGTCTACCAACATGCTACATGGAAATACATACAGCCGGTGTTGGGCTACTCCATAGAGAACAGGAAACGAGCCTCGACCAAAAGAAGATGTTCTTGACTACGGATGCCAATTGTAGTCGTCAAGTTTCAAGTGACCTGCGGGCAAGTTCGTTGTTGTTCCAAGAGAAGATCGTTACATAAAGCGGTTCTTTCAAGTCCTGAAAGAGGGTAATGACTCACCTTGACCCTGTCCATGATCGCGAACTTTGACTGCTCACGGCGGTCTGAGCTTGTAGTCCTGTCTTCTCTCTGTATCGCTCCCCCTGTCTCGCTCTTGAGCTGGCGTCTGGAGGTGGGGTCTTGGCTGGATTGGAGCTCAGATTAACGAATATTCGGTCTCAATGCGCTCGTATCAGCAGGCGTATCTGCACGTGATAGGAAGGACAGGGGGGCAGGTGTAAGTGTGATCGTGGGCGGGCTGCTCTCTCCCAGGTGGTTTTGAGTGAAGATGGATGATCGGTAGAGGTGTCAGGCCGAGAACGTCTCCTTGAAGAATCGAAACTGTTGCCTCTTCGTCGAACGGTGCGGCTTCACCACCGACGCTTCGACATCCTTTAGGACAGACGTGGGAGAATCGAACCGCTCTGAGTCCCCTTCCGTATGTCCCTTATGTTCACCCTACTGTAGTATCGTGATCAGTACAGTACGGAATATCACGTGCTGGGATTCAGCCACGGCATCATCGTACAACACCTGAATGTATCCACATATCCACATACACGCGGCCACGACAAGATAAAGGCGGTGGTTAGATTCCTAAAGGGGTTCATAAGCCGAAGCGGGTTGGGAGTCGGGGTGGGCCGAGAAGGCTTATTGGTGTTGGTTGCTAGTCCCGCCCCCCCCCGTCCCCAAAGAATCCACTCGACCTGCCCGCTCAATCAAGTCGTGAACCCGATGAACTCGTGCCAAGCACTTACTCGACCTGACGCGCATAATCAAGTCGTGGACCCGATTAGCTCGTTTCAAGCACTCTTCGCCTAAAGAAATGGAAGCGTAATTTCGGAGGGGCACGTGAGCCGGATTTTCTATCCCTGCCCCCCTCGCGTTTGAGGTTCGAGGATGAATCGGTCGAGGCAGGGTCAGCTCTTGTGGCATGTGGAGCTGTCAGACTGCTGTACAGGGCATGGGGGGCGTTTATGTGGTATCTCCTACGCGCTTGTGTTGTGGCCCTCGGTCCTAGAGTTCACACCCTATTGACTATCCGCTCGACACTGGGTAGATAGTTGGAACGCTCTACAATAGAGCAATAGACAAATGACGTATCTGAACCACGTACGCCATTTGTATTTTTTCACCTCATGTATACAGACCATACTCCAAGCATAATACACACGAAGAGATGTATTCGCTGTATGCGGCGCGCCTACTTTGCGCGAGCGCGCAATTATCGAAGTCCCTTGCGGTGCTTGCAGCATGGTCGAGCCCCGTGAAATGATAGGAAGCCGGGATGCCCAATAATCCCATGGCATACCTGGTTTGGCACAGCAAACGCAAGAATAATGACCAGCTTCTAGCCATCCTCGACGAAAACCCGGCGTATGGCTCCGTCCCGGCATTGCAGGGATGCGAGGCCAATAGTTCAATGACTGCGACATGCGTGTACATGAGTACCAGGCGAGGGGGTAGACAATCCACAGAATGGGCAAGGTTGCAAAGGAAATACAAGGGGGTGCGATACTGACAAACATCATACGTGGACAACGACGGGCGTGGGGTTCAAGGAGGAAACATTTGATACTTTTCGGAGAGAGAAAACTTGAATCTACGGGAAAAACTAGGGAAAGGACGGTCTAGAAATCTGGAATGATGAAACAAGGACCAGGGTTCAAAGTATTTGTACCGACCAATGGATGCTGGGGCAAAGAAGGCGAACTTGGGACATTGACATTGACCTCATTCGAGAAGATTGACAGAAGGTAGACAAAGACGACGACATGTTCAACTGTGAATGCGACTCCGAATGCGAAGGCCGGTTTCATGTAGTTGCAGACAGAAATACACAAGGCTTAGATGCGGTGGGGAAAACAGTAAGACCCTACAGAGAAAAGCTTAAGGCATGGTACATCGAGGAACAGGCGATAGCTATCAGAGGTTCTGAAGAGGTCAAAGCAGATGAGAAGACATACAGACAAGATATAACATGTTTTGGACACCTTTTGCAAAGTAGGAAGGAACGATTGCATCGGTGATCGGTTCTCTCGGAGCAATGCTCCGTCCTCTCGAGGACGCGTGGTTTATGGTGTAACAGCAAAGGCCGCAAGACATGAGTACGCCCCCATGCTGTAACTCTCAACATTTCATCAGCAACGCTGACTGTTGTGTGGAGACCCCGGGGATGAGCGCCGGGGACGGGAAGGTAGGCATCCCCTGGCCATCAGCATCAGGAAAATATGCAAATATTACCCCCGCTAGTACGCAAGATATACGGTTGAGGTGCCACCTTCACCAACTCTGGCCCGTGTTCCACGTTCGTTCGTTGGTTCCCGAAACTCGCCACTCATGTTGGAAAACCTGGCCATACATTTGTCGGCACCAACATACCGTCCGCACGACCAAAAGCGAATATAAACGCGCACTTATCACCACCCCAATGGGAGCGGAATACGATAATTGTACATTCTGTTGTCAGTCATCAACGGGTACTAGTCTGTGCAGCTGGACGAATCACCTTCCAGGCCCTTTGCTGGCACAGGAGTAAAACGTAAGGCCGTCCCGTTGCGGCTGATGCTCTGAACGGCACTACAACCGCCAAGAAGAACGATGAGGTGCAGGGGGAGATGGACGAGGAAGAACGTTTTTGTGTTTTTGAAGCTTCTTGCCCGCCTTTTGTGTCTGAGAAGCACAGCAACGACGCAGAACAACGCACTACCGGCATATGTAAACAAACATGTGGCGAGTACTTGGAGAAATCAAGGATGAATCGAATTGCCCCGGCGGGATCATTATGTGTGGGATCAGCAGGTCAGGGTCAGGGGTTGGAATCCTGGCTTCAGCGAGCTTTCCATGCAAAGTGGGTTGTTCTCTCGCTTCCGTTCCTGGTCCTGGTGGAAAGCGCTAGTTTGTGTCTACACAGAGGGAAGAGAGTGCTGTACTATTCTCGCATTAGTATTCGAAGGCTAAAAACCGCAGGAGTGGTTGGTAGGGGGCTTCAGGGAGAGAAACCCTTCCGTGTGACCACGGGTTGGAGTAAACGGCACAAGTGGTTTGAGCGCTGATTCAAAATGAAGACAAAAAACATAAAAGACTATATATATTCGAGGGGAGGGATACTTGTAGGCACGGCGGGACGAAACCATGGCTACCACTGTATTTGTTGGAACGCCACGGCTCTCTGTGACAAATACATCGACATCGGCATCAACATCAAAGGTCAAACTGCAAGCAGACCGAGCGAGCAGCAACACCGAGCTCCTTGCCAATCCTCTTGTCTATCCTGACATTATAAACATGCTTTGTGTTACCGCGCCCACACTTTCGGTAGCCCTACCCGCTGTGCCACCAGGTGCCAACGGTAGTAGTGGCCCGAAGCATAGGGAACCCTGACCGTCCTTTCTGGGTCTCGTGGAGTCGCGTGGGGACTACAGAACGCGCCCGCACTTAAGAGCCACTACTTTATTTTTCGTGAGGCTCTGGCCTTCATGGCTGCCCCAAACGGAGCACGTGTTCTCATTGTTCAAGTGAATATTTCGAGCAGGCATCCGCCTAGGACCGACGGGGATTCTTTTTCTTATGTCTCACCAAGGGCCTCATGCTGGGGACACAAGTTATCAATTCTGAGTGGACTACCAGCTTGACACTAAGAGCAGCGTGCTGATAGGGAAGTATAAGAAAAACCGTCGTTCAATAAGACCTTTGGATCCAACGTACCGCAGCTTCCGTGATCATCCTACAGCAGTCGGGTACAGAAGGACAGACAGACGCGGCGTCGCCTAAAAAATGTTGCAACATGAGCAACGACAAACCACGTTAGTGGTCCACGTGGCACGCATCAATAGGCGCTTGGAGCCCTCGCTTTGAGGGAATTACGTAGCGTAAGTAGAGGTTGGCGCAACGATCAAGATACGTTAACAGAGTCATCACGTGCGGTCTAGAGCATGATCATATAGCGCACATGTGTACAGCAGGGTGTCATTCAAAGTTAAGGCAATCAGCACTAAACGAGTACGCCCCCCTCTCGCCCCGCCTTGCTCCCACGCACCCCCCCCCCCCCCCCC